ACGGGCTCTCTGGGTCCCCGAGTTTGGCCTTCCGTCCTAGCCTCGAGGGAGCTGGCCCTGGGCTGTCATCCTGGGCTGTGTGGCACCCTGACTCCCTCCCTGCTGCGCCTGATACACACATGCTGAGGAGAAATGCTAATTTTAGACTCCCCTTAATGAAGCTGCTCATTTGAAATTCTATTTTAAGTGACCTGACATCAGCAGAGCAGCTTCCCAGGCTGGTAGCTCCTCAGATCCCGCGGCTGACACTGTGGTGGGGACGCTGGCTCTGGGAGATCCCCCAGGGACCCAGGGGGGCTGTACCCAGGCTAGAGGCTGCTGGCGGGGCCTGGGGAGCAGGTGCCAGGCTTTGTCTGAGCAGGGGGTGGGGATGACTGCGTGGATGCCAGCAGGAGCATGGTCATGACTTCGAGGTGGCTCTGGGCCCAAGAGGCAGGGCCGGGCAGCTATGGGGAGCACTCAGCCCCTGCCCATGCCTAACGTGAGGTCTGTTCTGGGGCTGGACGGTCCATGCTCCTCTTGGTGGTGCCAACTTAATGCACTCAAGTCTCCATGTTTTGACCGTCTCCCCTTCCCCTTTACAAACCTGTTTCACTGCAAAAAAGTTAGAACCTATAGAGAGGTAGAAAGGTTGAAATGGAAGAGGATTGCCTGTTCTGCTGCCATCTGAAGACGCCTCTGAGGACCTTAATGTGTGTGTGCTGCCTGGGGGTCTGGTCTTTTGCACCGTGGCCTCAGTCTGCCTGGTCACCTGCGGATCTCAGCTCCTATGTGCTCTGCAGGTGGTGCTCGTGGCTGATGGTCACAGCACCTCTGCCCAGGGGCCAGCTGGCCAGCCTGTTGCAAAGGCCACTGGGCAGGGACTCGGCGTCAGCATCCCATGTTCCCACATTGTGATCTGGGCCGCAGGGCAGGGCACAGCGGCTACCTGACCCACAGCAGAGATCGGCCAACTCCTGAGCCCTGGGGCAGGTGTGGAGCTGAGACGTGACCAGCTTTGGGTCAAGCTGGCCACAAGCACTGTGTTGAAGGAACTCCAGCCTACTCCATGCCCTTCCCTGGTTGGATCCAGTCTGCCTTCTCCCTTCTGTGAAGTGGGCACAGTAACCCTTTCTCATAGAGTGGTTGGCATTTCCATAGGTGGCTGGCTTTCTAAGGAATGTGGGGAATGGGATTGTGGTGATTGATGGTCTCTGACATCAGTGGGATACGTTATGACAGTGTTTGGGTAAAGGCCCAGTGTTTATTTGCAGGTAGAGGCATTTCTGGGGCTTCTGATTGGGAGGGAGAGATTGAGGGCTGGCCTGACAGAATGCACAGCGATGTCCTCGCTGCTGTGTCAGTTACCTCTTGCTGCAGGACATCTGTCCTGAGCTCAGTGGCTTAAACAGCAAACCTTTATCATCTCAGCGTGTCTGCGTGTCAGGAGTTTGGGAGTGGCTTAGCTGGGTGGCTCTGGCTCAGTTCCCACAAGGCTGTACTCAGGGTGTCGTCCAAGGCTGCAGTGCATCTGAAGGCTGGGCTGGGGCTGCCACGGTGATGGCTCCCTCACATGGCTGGTGGCAGGATGCCTCAGTCCCTTGACACATGGGATTCTCCACGGACTGCTTGAGCGTCCTCATGGACACATCAGTCAACCACCCTCCCTCAAGTGACCTGAGAGGAAAGGGAGGAAGCCCCGGGGCCCCGGTCTCGTCCGGAAGTTGCGTGCCATCATCTCCACTGTCGTCTGTTCATAACTTGACGGGTGACAGAGACTTTGTGGACACAGTTTTAAGCCACTACAGCCAGATACTTAAGAGCCAGGTAATTTAGCTCTGCGCTGGGACTGGGCCAGTGGTGTGAGTGATAGGAATGCTGGGTCTGAGCCCAGGGAATGGGATGCAAGTCCCAGACACGCTGCTCAGCCTTCTATGTGACCTTGTACCCACCTGAGAACATCTCCTGGCCTCAGTTTCCCCATCTGCATTCTGCGGGCCTCCTGGGATTGAGGGGGTAGCGTGAGGGTTGGACACAGGTGGGGATGGGGGTGGTGGTCCTGCTGCTATGGTCTCTCCTGGGCCCCTTGTGAGGCTACCTTGAGAGGTGACCCAACCAAACCATGCACCTCTGAGACCTGCTGGGATGTCCCAGGGGCGGGGGAGCTGATGGGCAGTGTTTGTGTCCAGTAGTCCCTGCCCACAAACCTTGTCATCTGGATAGCCCCTCATAATGACACTCTCCTGAGTGCCTTGCTGGGACCACTGGGATCTGTTTCACTTGTGCCTGTAGAGGGTCCTGAGAGGGCAGGGCTCCATCTTACATCACTTTGTCTATCTAGACACCACCCTGCCAAAAAAAATAAGCCTGTCAGCGTATGAATGTGGGTGCTTGGGGTGCTGTGGTGGCAGATAGGACCCAGAGCTGTGGCTGCCCTGTGTGTAGGGTCACATCCTGGTTGCCCTGTGGTTCGTCCTTTGCCAGCTGCCAGGGTTGCAGAGCCAGCACTCTGCTAGAGGTGGAGGCTCCTGGGCCTGAGCAGGGAGTGGGGCAGGGGGCTCTTGGCAGGGGTGGCCACCCTGAGCAGCGCACAGGCCTGATGTTGAGTGCCTCTTCTCCTGCAGTCCTGGTCCCTAGGCGGGGCAGGCAGGACACACCCCCAGCATGGGTCCCCGTTTGCTGCGACTGAACTGCGGGGCCTTAGCCAGGCCCCTGCCTGCAGGACCTGTTTTGTCCACCCTGGCATGGCCAGTGGGCTCTGAAGCCCCTCACGTGAATTAGCTCCTTAATCCTCACAGGGTTAACCTTGTGAGGAAGACTTTGTTGTTATCCCCATATCTTGGAAGCCCAGAGAGACAAAGTAACTTGCCTAAGGTCACACAGCAGAGCCGGGATTCGAGCCCCTGACCTCCTGGCTCCTTGGTCTCGGCCATACCTCGTGACCTGGCCAGTTCCCCTTTGTCTCTGTCCATGGGGAGGAGGGAAGGGGACTGCTATGCACAGAGAGAGGTGCTGGTGGCAGCCTGGGGCCATGTGGCCTGCATGGCAGAGTGGTGAGTGGGCAGAGGCCAGGCTGGCTTCCTGGGCTCAGTGGTGAGTGGCTGGCAAGGGAGGGCTCTTGTCAGAAACTCACATTTCTGGAAATCCAGCTGCTGGACAGGGGACCCCACGTCCTCTTATGTTCCTGTCTTTCTGTGCTGGGCTTGGAGAGGCAGGGGGAGGGTGTCGGTTATGGATCCTTCCCCCTCCCCACTCCAGAAAGAGCTGAGGAGGACACGCAGGGGTCAGCCTCCTAGGCTCAGTGGGCCTGCTGCTGCAGGGCATGCCATGGCAGCGCCCATGTGACCGCCTGGCAGCTGGGAGGCCAGCTTGCCTGCGGTGGGTGTGGGGCCCCTGTGGGGTCCTTTGTTCCCGAGGTGCGAGCCTTGTGGGAGAGCTCTGGTAGCCGTTTCTGGAGGCAGCAGGTGGACAAAGGGGGTCTCTGGGGTCTGGCTGTTGTCTGGTCACCTGTGGGGATCCCCTGTCCTCACCCAGCTGCATCCAAGCCTGCTGTCCCAGAGGGACAGCTATCGAAACAGGTTCCATTTAGACTCACTGACGGGGAGGTGGGCAGCTTCTTGGGGGTGGGGCCACAGCCTGGGAGGGGTCCCCTCACTCATGCCTGCCATATCAGAAGCTCACTTGTTCCTCCACCTTGTGTTCCTGACTGTTGTCTGACTGTGCCCTCCTCCAGGTGATATCTGAGAGCCTGGACCTCCCAGGTCTCCATCTGGGTTTTAGGACTTAATTTGCTCCTCTCTGTGCTGACCCAAGTGCCCCTGCCAGTTGCGAGGCTGGTAGTCTTGATTTGCTCCCCTTGGATTCACCCACGGCGATGTGGGGCAGGTGGCCCCTGAAAGGCAGGAGGTGTTACTGGAAGACTTAACTGTGCTGAGTCCCGCCCTTGTCTGGGACGCAGCTGTTACTGATAGAGTACATTTGAGTGGGAGAAAGCGGCTTCCTCATTGACACATGGATGGGGGCTTGCGAAGCTGGGGGCATGCATGGGGAGGTGGCCATGTCCCCCTACCACGGGAGGTGTCTGATGGCTGCACCTGGGCTCAGCCTGTGGGAAGAGCCAGGTCAGCTGCCATCGGGCCAGCATCAGTCTGAACTTGGCCCTGAGCAGGAATGGAGGAGAGGTCTCTAGGCTGCACGGGGTTTGGATTTGTAGTTTTCTATTTTTAGTCTCTCCAGGCAGAGGCTGTGCTCCTTTCCCACCTCTTTGCCCTGCCCATGTGGCCCGTTCTCTGGGTCCCCTCCCAGGCAGAGACCCACCAGGCTCCCTGGGTGGCTTGGGATTTCAAGAGAGCATGGTGGAGACCATGGCTCTAGGCTGGTCTGCCTGGGTGCAGATCCTGGGTCTGCGCTGACCCAGGGACGTGGCCATCTGTGAGCCTCGGTTTCCTTTTCTGTGACAATGGTGATAACAGCCAGCCTTACCAGAGTATCTATAGATGCCTGGCGGTTGTGAGCTTGTAAAACAGCCGCTGCTGCAGCCATTGTCTTTGTTACCGTCATTAGTTGTGCCCTGCACCTCTCTGCCAGCATTTTTCTTTATTCCGTGAATGTCGGCTCTGTGTCCCCTGCCCTGTGCCTCAGTCTCCCATCCACCAGCCCTTTGATGGCCTGGGGCCTGTCAGGTGATGCTTTGGGATCCTCGGTGGCCTGTGCAGCCCTGATTGTGGGGTTGTGCAAGCCTGAGCCATTTGTCATCTGGGATCACTGGGGTGTGGGTTGCCCCTTGGACCCGCGGGTCTGCCGTGGGTGCTGGCTAGACTCTGGGCTCACAGGTCTGTTCTCTCTGCAGCACTGGCTCTGTCCTGCTCTTGCCTGTCCTGCTGGGAGCTGCCCAGGCCTGCATTGCTCCCTTGCCCTAACCTTGCATGCTGCCCGCTGGCACCAGCCCCCGTGGACCCCTGCTCTGGTGCTGGGTGCTCCTGCTCTCTGGGTGACCTCTGGTTCTTCTTTTCCTATTTCAGGCATGAGCCATGAGCCCAAGTCCCCTTCACTAGGGATGCTTTCCACCGCGACCAGGACCACCGCCACCGTCAACCCCCTCACCCCCTCGCCGCTCAATGGCGCCTTGGTGCCCAGCGGCAGCCCTGCCACCAGCAGCGCGCTGTCGGCTCAGGCCGCTCCGTCCTCCAGTTTTGCCGCCGCGCTGCGCAAGCTCGCCAAACAGGCGGAGGAGCCCAGAGGTAAGAGGCGCCCACCCACCTCCCGCCCGGCCCTCGCGCTCCTGCGTAGCAGGTGCAGCTGTAGCAGGAAACAGCTGTTCCCGAGAGCCTGAAGCCGCGCTCAGAGGGACTGGCAGGCAGGGCCCTCCCATCCCAGCTGCAGCGCTCGCTCCCTCCAGGCAAGCCTCGGGCCAGGGTGTGCTGCTGGGGCTGGTGGGGGGCCCTGCTGCCTGAACTGCAGACCCTAGCCTCCAGCCTTCCCAGCCTGGCTCCTTCGCTTTGCTCCTGTGCCTCCCTCTCTCTGCCTAGCTTCCGTCCTGCCTCACTCCAGAAGCAACCATGGGGGAAGTTCAGCATGGGAAGCGTTCCTTCTGGCCGTGAGACCTGGAGTGTTGGGCCCTGTTACCTCTCCCCGGAGCCCATGCCCTGCCTGACGCCCCTTCTGGGCAAGGCAGAGAACAGGGTGTCTCTGAAAATACACTTGGTCCCAGAGTGGGAGTCTCTGGGACAGCTGATCCCACCACTGCTTTACTCCTGCAGGCAGGGACTGTGTGGCAGTGTGGACAAGGGTCCCTGGGGATCCAGAGCCCTGGCTTCTTGTGTCACCTGGGCAGTGATTGTGTGACTTTGGGCAAATGCTGATCCTCTCTGAGCTCCAATCCTCCTGTACATACAGTGAGGCTCCTTAGGTCCCTTTTGGCTATAGCTTTGAGGTACTTCTTGGAACCCGTGATGACTATCAGCTGCCCGTGTTAGTGCTGGTCTCAGGCTGCTGATTGGACATATTGGTGGGGGGCAGGGGTGGCAGTTGTGGCTGGAGCTGCTGTGGGGAACTTGGGCCCTTATGGATTCCGGCTGGGCCTCTTAGATACCCCCTGTACTTATTGCCTGGAGGCAGGGGGTGTTGAGGAGGCAGGGACCCCAAAGTACTCTCCCCTCGTAGGTACAAGCTTTAGGATCTGGGTCCCAGGGCCCTCTGGGGTACCCAAAGAACACTGTGTGCAGAAACTGTCCAGTTTTGTATACTCGGGCCCTGGGAGTCTTCTGAATCCCTCTTCCTAACAAGTCTTTTCTGCTACCTTGTCTTTGGGGAGGTGGGTATGAGAGGGCATGAGCATAGCATTGATGGGGAGGGAGGTGCTGGGCATTGGTCCAGGAGGGAGATAGCTGGGCCTGGTCTCTGCACCATGAGGGAACACCCCCTCGCCACCCGTCTCCTCCTGCCGAGGGCTGCCCTGTCCACTGGGGCAGAGGTGGGGCTGCCAGTATACCCTCTGCATCTTCCCTCCACACCCTCAGCCAGGGACTCCCTGGCCACCTCTGAGCAAGCCAAGACCCCTGCCTGTGTCTGCAGACTGCCCCCACCCTGCCACCCACATCCCAGGCACACCAGGCAGTTGAAGAACAGATGACTCAAGAGGAGAAAGCGTGCCCCCTGCCTGCGCCCACTGAGGCTCCCAGACCTGGCATCCTGGGCTCATGGGGCAGTTAGCAAGTGCCTATGGCAGAGACCCCGAAAGTTGATTTTGGAGTCAAGACTTGGGTCTCTTAAGAGAGGCTGTGCTGTGAAAGGAAGGGACGAGAAACAAGAAGCCCCTTGGGACACAGTCTGCCCAGCAGCTCCTGCTTTGGCTATCTGCCTTCTCAGCGTTCCAGAAGGCAAAAGAAGGGGGTGGCATGGGCTTTCAGAGACAGCAGCAGCTCATGGAGAGCACGGGCTCTGCCTGGGTTGCATCCCCTGAGTGTCCTGGCTTCCTGGAGTGGCCAGCCACTTACGGGCCTCTGGGCTTGAGTCCTGGGGTCATACTGCGGTAGATGTAGCTAAATGAGGGGAGGGTCACTCCTTGCTGGGCAAGGTGGCAGAGAAGTCTGTGGATGCATCTTCGTGCCGCAGGCGTCAGTGCAGGAGCTGCCTTTCTGGGCTTGGGTTTCCTCTCCCGCCCCAGGCCGCCCCAGAGTCCAGCTCAGATGGTGGCCCAGCAGGTGGCCTGAGTGCCAGAGGCCACTAGGGCTTGCTGAGCACTGATGGCGGAAAGCCAAGCACAGCAGCCTTGGGGCCCTGCTTCCTCCTGGCTGTTACCTGAGCAATACAAGGGACACCCTGGGAAGGGTGTGCAGGGACTTTGTGTCACGAGGTCAGGAGAAGGGGGCGAGTGGCGCTGTGGGAGAGCCCTGCGTCTGCCACGCACACACCGGAGTCATCCCCTCACTCAGGCAGAAGGCTGAGGTCTGTGGGGCGAGGTCAGGAGAAGGGGGCGAGTGGCGCTGTGGGAGAGCCCTGCGTCTGCCACGCACACACCAGAGTCATCCCCTCACTCAGGCAGAAGGCTGAGGTCTGTGGGGTGTGCCATTTGCAGAATTGCAACAGCATATGGACCCTGGGTCACCTGATGCTGGTGCTCGTATCGGGCGGGTCCCTCATCAGCCATGTTGACAAGAACCATGGGCTTTCTGGCAGCCACAAGCAAAAAGCCTGGACACCCTGACCCCAGTTTGCACATCCCCGTCGAGTTGACTGTGGTCAGGCCCTGGTTCGGATTGGCGAGGAGGTACTCTGTCACTCATTCCAGCATCCTCTTGGCCACAGTATACTTCATCCCCATTTTTCTCACCGAGTCACCAACCTCTGACCTTGCGTCACTCTCACCCGTAGAATTGGCCCATTACACAGATGGAGGTTCAGAGAGATCAGGTCCTAAGCCTGAAGCCACACAGCTGCTTAAGCCTTTCCCAGTGGACTGGGAGAGCCGGAGCTACAGGGACAATCCCAAGATGGTCCCAGCTGGAGAGGAGGCTCCTCTTGCCCCAACACCCACCGCCATGGGTCAGGGAACTAGGTGGCTGACTCTGCCTCCCGTGCGGGTGTGGGCTGTCCCCAGAGCCTGGGGGCCATTGGAACACGTGAACCTCCAGCTCTCCTGCGCTACCTCTCCACCTGAGCCAGAGAGCGGGGTGGGGGGGGGTGCATTGGTGAGTTTGGCAATGCGGGGGGCTGGATCTTTTATTCTTAAATTTTTCTAGGTATAATTCAAGTGCTGTAAAATTTATCCTGTAAACATGCACAGATCAGTGGTTTTAACCTACTCCAAGTTGTGTCCTCACCTCTGCAGTTTTAGAATGTTTCTGTCACTGTCACCCCTAAGAGAAACCCCGTCCCAGTTAGCCATCAGCCCCTGATGACCACTGGTCACCTCTGTCTCTGCCTGTTCCAGACCTGTCATGCAGATGGCTTGCGCAGTGTCTGCGTCTGGCTCCTTTCCTCAGCGGGATGTGTCGCAGTCAGTCTGTGCATATGTGTCGGCTGCGCTTGCCTTCCGTGATGGGATGGCTGGGGCGGGGGCTGGATGGACCACACACCTGCCGCTTTTCTGCTGTGTTCTGAGCTGTGCATGTGGAGGTGCACCTGGCGAGGACCTCTGCCTTCCTCCCTCACAATAATGTCATTTATTGAGTGTGTACCAGGCAGTGTGCCAAGCTCTTGCTTCTGTTTCTCTGTCTTTTGCTGGTGGACAGAACAAAGTTTCAGACTTGCTTGAGTTCCACATTGTAAGTGGCCGAGGGGAGCTTCCAAACTCTTCCTGCCACCTGCCTGGTGTTCATGTCATCCTCCCCATCAAGTGGGAGCTGGGGCCACTACCGAAGCCGTGCCTCCCACAGGAGCAAGGGCCCTCCTGTGCAGACCTGATTCCTGTGTGCCAGGCCCTGGAGGTGCAGGTGCTGAGCTGACAAGCCCTCAAGTCCACAGCCACAGCTGAGTCCCAGTGCTGTGTCCCCCAGGCAGGGAGGACCCCAGGAGGCAGGGCAGTGAGCAGAGCTGCCCAGGGAGGTAGCTGGAGAGGTGGGCAGGGCTGACAGTGTAGCAGAAATGGGCCCTCCAGGAAAGAGCCATCACAGCCTGGCCTCCTGCTGCGAGGGCCCCTCTGTCCCTGGTGCGTGCTGGCTCCTCCTTGCCCACCTTGACCCACCCCACCCGCTTCTGGAAGTGTCGTCTTATTTTTAGTCATCTGACCGCACTCCCCTCTGCTTCCCCGGCTAGCATGTCTCCTCTTACCCTGTCCCGAGGGTGCCGTGTAGAAATTCAATTCAGACGAAGCAATCTGTGTGCCATCGTGTTAGCTCTGGCCCGGGAGGAAGGAGCAGAGAGCTCCTTGGTGCTCTCCCTGCCACTGGCCTCTCTGGGCTTTGACTTTTCCTGAGGCTCTGGGACATGTCCTCTTCTTAGAAGCCAAACTGCCCTGCTCGGTCACCCGTCGGCCACAATGGGGCAGAAGGTTGGGCTCGGCCAGCTAGGTGGACACAGGAATGGGCCCACTCAGTCACATGGATGTCTTCACTTCCTCACTGTGTGACCCCAGCGGGTTGGTTCACCTCTCTGAACTTCCACTTTCTCTGAGGATGAGGAAAACGTATCTCACTCACACATTGCGACGATTCTGTGAGCACGCACTAGCACCAGGCACAGAGCGTGTGTACAGCAAAAGTAGACCACCAGCTCCATCGTCCCCCACCCTGAACTCATGCCACTTCCCCCTTGACACCACCACTGCTGCTGCTACGGCCACCTCCTGTGTGTGCACCCCCTGCTAATTTCCCCAGCGTCCCTCCCTCCTCCCCATCGCACCTCTGGCTGCCACCACTGCCCCCCACCCCCCAACTTGGAGAGAGAACTCGGCCCATCTGGCAGGGCTACTCTGGGGCACTGGCACCTGAGGCTGTGCCTTGTGCTTAGAACCACCTGGCCCTGTACCCGCCAGCAGCCCTGAGTCAAGCTGGGGGGTGACAGCTGCTTGGCCTGCCCTGGGAACCCTCCCAGCTGGCAGTCTCCAGAATCCCTGACCCTTCCCCTTTGACCCCTACAGAGGGCAAGCCTCGGAGCCCCCCCCACCATCCCCACCCACGCATGATGGAACAGCGGCTGCTGCCAGGCAGGACTGTCACAAGCTGTGCGGCAATCTGCTCCCCTGCTGCAGCAGGCACCGGCCTCCTGTGGGGACGTGGCTCCTGTCTGCCGAGGGGTAGGG